GATGTTATTTGGCATCAACAGAACAGCAGAAAGAGTGCTGAAAAACGTGTACCTTGTGCGTTTCTCATTTTGAGGTGCCACAAAACACCTCATGAACCTGTTTCCACCGTTTCTCCTCTTGTCTCCTTCCGTTGTAGATGGAGTGTTTGGAAGGTGCCAGGAGTTGGCTGGGGCAGACCTGTACACGTACGATATCTCATCCTCCGCTCTCCAGCGCCTCAGGATCCTCCTACAGAAGCTGGCTCACAGAGGTACAAACTTTGTCTGAGTCTATCTTTCGCCTTCGTCATCTATCGGTGGGTCACACAGAGAGTGCCTTTTGGCGCGAGGCGAGCCAAATCAGCCAAGCTGTCTCTTTGGCAGGCACAACACACTGCCACGGAGCTAGAACGGGTCATGTGACTCATATCGGCCCATTGTTTGGCCGTCCTCGCTTAACACCAGTAGCCAGTCTTGTTGGCTCTTGTGCCAGTTGGACATTTAGAGCTGATTTTGTGGATGAGTAACTGTGAGGTGTGCAGGATAATCACATCAGTCTCTCCCACCCAGTCAGTGGCTGATGATGAGCTTCAAAGCAGCTCACAGCTTCAGGCGGTTTATAGGCATCTATGTGATGAACATGCAGTGCCTTGCACACCCCATGAATCTTTCAATATGTTGTTGCGTAGCACTCAGCAAACTTAAGTGTGTTTTATTGGTGTTTTATGAGTGAGATCAATATAAATGAGTGCAAAATTGTAAGGTGTACATTTGGGTCTGTCGTTTTACCGTCTTTGCCCATTTTTCCTGAACAGCTCAGTCAGGTTGGATGGAGAGATTCAGGAAACACCAATTTTCAGGTCTTCCTACAGATTTTCAGTTTGGATTTTGATCTGGGCCATTCTTACATTTAGCTCAAAAGTTGAATTTTGTTCTCGTCTGTTCAGAGCACCTTCTGGAATTTATAATTTGCAGAAGAAAATGATAAATCCAGGGTTGTTGTTTTTTCTTGCACTTCACAAATAATCTCTGCTTTCTTTCTGAAACAGAAATTCCTGATAAAATACATTAAATACATCATATTTGTGATTGTGTCATCATGAAATAGGAAACTATCATTAGCCTATTATTATCTAATGTCTTTATAACAAATGTAATTCTATATTTACACAAAGAGAGAAGTTGGAGGGAATTTTTTTTTCTTAACTCAGTCAAAGTGAGCTTAACTTAGTTAAGAACAATGCAGTTTTGCTCTCATATTTGAAGAATGACATCACTTCTGCAATTTAAATTATGCCTAATCTGATATTCATTCATTGTGGTGGAGCTCTAATTTTCAGTGGAAATGACCGAATCCTCCTTGGAGTCCACAACACAAATCCAGACAAAAAAAAAAAAAAAAATTGAAATCTGGTGAAAGTAAATGTATAAAAATGGGAGAGATTGGTAAAATGTTATTTAATTGAGTTTTCATTTCTTCATAATTTCAAAATATGCTGCTTTGGTGTAAACATATGCTTTGATGACGAACAGTATTCAAGCTATTTAATTATATTTAATTAATTGCTTGAGTGTGCACTGGTTATCATGTCAGCTGCAACAAAAAAAAAAAAAAAAATAGAACCTACAAAAATCTTGCCTGCATGTAGGTTATATGGAGATATGTATTGTGATTAAAAGTTAAAAAAAGAGACACATATAGCATCTCTTATGGCTTCATGCTCCTGCGCCGACAGTTATGCCCCACCAGGGAGCAGTAGAAACCTTTAACAAGACCATAACCACAGATGTCCACCATCCAAATTGTCTTTGCAGGTCACTCTGAGCCTGATTCTCTTAAGCAGGCGTGGACAAACACTGAAATTTATTAGAAGCATGGGTAAAGTGGGAAGAAAAGAAACATGAAATAAAGGATAATTATTCGAAACGAGCGTGCATATTTGTAATAATTAATAATTGGAAATAAACGCATGAAAATGAGGAGGATGAGAGCAGATATGTAGTTTTTTTTCATTATTTTTTTTAGATCCAATTCTTTTAAATGATTTTCCTTTTTATTCTTTGACCTTGTGCTTTAAGACAGCCTTTTACAGACATGACATCATCACTTTGAAACATTTCTCCCCTTCACCGTCTATAAGACTCCCGTCCACAGATGGGCGTTATCTGGCGTTGAGTCCACAATGCGCAGTTAATGCTCTGTGGCATGTAATTCTTATCAGCTCAGCAGCTATTGAAGTGTCATCTTTGAGGTGTGTAGGTTTGGGGGGGGGGGGGGGGGGGGGCTCCTTTTTGAGCTTAGACAGGTTTGTAGAGACCATTGTACTGTTAGCTAAATTGAAGAGATGAAGGAGAGGAATAAAAAAAAAAAAACAAGACGAGCATCAATGGAATCGATTTACAATCCTCTTTATCTTGCATCAGAGCAGGTAGAAATCACACAATCTCTGCTCACTGCACAACACCAATGTCAGTCAGATCAATAGAAATTGACCCTTGAACAAAGGGGGCTCGGGTTGTCTGGATGCGTCCCCATCGGCACGGCACGTCATCTGGTATTAAATTTTCATCACAATACCTGCCAGTGCAGGGCACACTCATCCGTACACAAATGACTTTCATATTTTACAGGCAGCACCCACAGCAAAGCAACTTTAATATTCACTGTGTGCATCCACAGTCTGTCCACACGGTTTATAGCCACGCACGCCGCTGTCATACTGCTTAGGACTCATTAAAGCTCCACTAAATATTTGTGTTTGCCCAGCCTCGTACGGAGAATAACTTTGGTTGCCGCGGTTAATTGAATTTGATATACAGTCTTTTAAAATTAAATATTTGCTTTGCATCTTCCTGAACGTCTAGCCTGAACAGACATTGTTCAGTTAACGACAATCACTGAGCAAGCAGTCTGCCGGCTGAGGCAGTAATCTGGAGAATTGTTTTGTTTCTCACACTTTCCAAGGCTAACAAACATGTGCTCATAGTCATTTCTTCAGCTTAGTTTTTTTATTTGTTTATTTTTTTAATCACACTTAAATGTTTTATATTTTCAGCATAATTTCATTATAAGAGAAAGATAACTTAAGATACAAAATAGTAAATGATAACTTATTAAGGGGAGGAAAAAAGCATTCCTGTCTTTTCATTGACTATAACCAGGCAACATGTAGACAGCAACTGTGCACACTCACACCTCATGACAACTTAGAGAGCCCACCCAACCAAACGTCATGTTTTTGGACTGTAGGAGGAAGCTGGAGTACCTGGAGAGAACCCACACATGAACAGTGAGACCCTAAGCTTGGATCCTTCTCGCTTCAAAGCGACAGTCCTACCAACTGTGCCTTTGTGTATCCTGTTATGAGTAGCAAAGCTGCCCAAACAAACCTATTTTTTGCCCCTGAAAATCCATCTTTTGCATCTCAGTAAAGGAATTTTGGCCCACTCTCATGTGCAGAATTGTTTTAATTCAGCGACACCGGAGCTATTTTGTGCACCAAAATAATAGTCATGCTAGAGCTTCTTAGTCAGATTTAAACTATGCCTTGCTGGTGTTGAAATTGGTCTTTAGGGGGACTTTTAAAAGTAGACGGTGAAAGAGCTTCTCTATTATAAAGAGGTAGGTTACTCCAGAGTTGAGGAGCAGCAACAGAAAAGGGCCTGGCCCCTCCGAGCTTCCCCCTAGACCTTGTTCCCTACAGGGACCAAGAAGGTGAGCACGGATGAAGAGGCTCACAGAGGTATGATGAGAAAAAAATCTTAAGACATTTAAAAAAAGAAAATAAGGATTTCAAACTTGACTCTAAATAGCACAGGCGACTAATGGAGCGAGGGCAAACAAGGGTGATGTGTTGTGTTCTTTGAGTATCAGTTAAAAGACGTGCAGCAGCGTTTTGGAACAGAGGGCAAGGACTGACACAAAGTCCATTTCAGCAATCTAAGTGGGATTAAATAAAAGCACGGATCACACTTTCGAAGAGTTTCCTGGACAGAAAAGATTAGACCATTGCCATCTGCCTTAAATGATTAAAGCGGGACTTTACAGCTGCTCTGCCGATATCAAATCACTTTAATATGATGTGTTGCAATGTTTACCTGAAAACCCTAATCTTCATTTCTGGAACCAGAATGAGGAGAACTCGGCTTTCTGCTCCAACTGACACAGAGTTGTTATGGACAGAGTTTTATAGCAGCTCAAACTACAGAGCAGACAGGACTCAGCAGAATGCACTACAGCATGAATCCTTTCAGAAGGTAATTGTGATTTAGTTGATGGACCATGTTAAACTACAGTGGCCTGCAGTCGATTGTCCTCTCGACCTGCGCGGTACAGCAGATATATTCTCATTGCAGAGACAGGTAAAGATGATGCGTTGTGACATTTGTATTAGCTTTATTGACAGGAACTGTCTATCAAGGAGAGAGTCATTGACCATAAACTGACATCACAGAAACTGTCCTATTTTAACTTTATTGCAATAAAAAAAAATAAAAAATCTGAAGAGCAAAAAAATCAACTGTTCCTTCTCAATCTTGCAGGAGAGGGTAGATGATTTTAAACAGTGACTAGCTCTCATGGTAGAAACTGCTGCAAAAAGAAGGTATAGGACTGCAGGAACAAAGGCACAAAATCAGAAAGATTTGGCAAATGACACAATTTTTATTAAGTCAAATACAGTTGGCTAGAAATTCTATCCAGGTATTATAGAATACAGTCAGACTCAGTAGATCATGATCTAGAATGTAATCTTAGTATCAATGCAGCTTCCCTTCTTGAGCAAGTAATGGGGTAGCAGTGGAGAGGAAAGACAGGAGAAAAACCCAATTAGAAACAGGCTAAAAATGAGCTATCACCACTGGCTGACTGATTGGATAAGAAAGATGGACACAGATTAAGCACTGATGCCTTTGGCCATGACCAGACACCAATTGGTGGCAGAGAAAAAAAAAAAATGAATACATAGTAACGTCAGCCAATAACGCGATGACTATAGAGTTCAGGAAACCCCAGCCCCTGTAAACTTCTAGCTTTGTTGAAATTTCAAACCTCAGTGAAGTCGGTGTCAGGTTCTCAACGAAGACTGGGAGCTTGTTTCACAGAAGAGCCTGATGACTAAAAGATCTGCCTCTCACTCTTCCTGTAGACCTTCTAGGAACCTGTAGAACCTCTGTAGAACCTGCCAGACTTCAAATAAACATGAAGTCTGACTGCCAGGTGCAGGATGAAGGTTTATTTATGAGATAGTAGTTTTAGATTCCTTTGTGGATC